CGGCTTTAATCTTCTTTGACCCTCTATACTTGGCTTGCAGTTTTCCTGCATTAGAATTTTATGCATGCACAGAGAAGGGTTGATTCCTGTAATGTCTGCTATTGTCCACCCAATCGCCGTCTTGTTCTCTCTGAGCACCTTGAGCAATTTTTCTTCCTCCACCTCACTGACTGTATTCAAAATGATTACTGGAAGTGTATCTGACTCCCCTAAATATGCATATCTGAGATATGGCGGTAGTTGCTTGAGTTCTAAAACTGGTGGCTGCTGAATGGAAGGCAGTGACTTTGTATTTCCCATCCCCAGTTCCTCGAAATGCCTCTTTCGGGTGTATGGCGGGTTGGTCTCCAAAAATCTTGCACATGTTTCAACTTGAAGAGACTCTGACTGGATTGATTGGGATTGTGCAATACATGCCTCATAGGCATCAAATGGGCCGTGAAGTAAGAACGTTTCTTGTACTACCTTATCAATGATGTCAACTTGGTAACAGTTATCTGATTCTGCTTGCAGTTTCATGGCCTTGAAAACATTGAACGATATATGCTCCTCTCCCAATATTAAGATCAACTGCCCCCTTTGAACATCAATTAACGCTCTCCTTGTTGCCAGAAATGGTTTGTCAATTATCAATAGGACGTCCTTGTCTTCTTCCATGTTCAAGATAAGAAAATTCGCTGGGAATATGAACTTCTCAACCTTGATAAGCACATCATCAATTATTCCTCTGGGATGTGTCAGTGACCTGTCATCCAGATGAAGCGTCACAGTGGTTGCTTTAGCTTCTCCTAAGCCGAGTTTCCTGAAAACAGACAGAGGCACTAAATTAATACTTGCACCGAGGTCACATAATGCTTTATCGAAATATACTTCACCGATTTTGCAAGGAACGGTAAAACTCCCTGGATCTTTTAGTTTTGGTGGGAGCTTATTTTGGATTCTGGCACTACATTCCTCCGTAAACATAACTGTCTCATGGTCTTCCAGGTTGCATTTATTTGATATTATATCCTTCAGAAATTTCCCGTAGCTAGGCATCTGAAACAATGCATCGGTTAGTGGGATGTTAATATGGAGCTTTTTGAAGACTTTTAGAAATTTTTTTGTATTGTTGCTCCACTTTTTGCTTCTTCAAGCACTGTGAAAATGGAATTGGAGGCTCGTATGGGTTGACTGTGACTTTGGCCTTATCCTGTGCCTCTTCTGAATTTTCCTTTGAACTTGGTTCCTTTACAACAGTCTCTTCTTCAGCGGGGGAAGATGTCTCTCCAATCACACCCGGTCTCTTGACATGGATTTCAGGCAATTGTACTCCACTTCGAGTTGTAATGGCCTTGGCTTGCTCTTTAGGATTGACTTCTATATTAATTGGTAAGTTACCTGACGTTCTGCCAGTCAATGCGATGACTAGCTGCCCCATCTGAGTTTCCAAATTTTTGATGTCTGCATTTTGATTTTGAAGTGTAGCTCCATGAATTTTCCTATCATATCTTCCAATTGAGGCCTCTTCTCTTATTGTAGAAATTGCCCCTGTGGCTTATTCTGATTCTGGTTGCTTCAAAAGAAGTTGGGATGCTTCTTCCAGCTAGAATTGAAAGTCTCTTCGTATTAATTGTGTTGCTGGCGTTGTCCCCACTATGCGTAGTCTGCTTACTCAATTCCTTGCATGAGTATTGGGCAATTCGATGTTTTGTGCTCGGCTCCACATTCCTCACAATTGCTCTTCTTAGCTTGTGATGCTTGTGATATGCTTTCTACCTTGTGATACAGAGAGTCAATTTTTGCATATATTACTGAATAAGCATCCACCTCGTAGACACCTGGAGTTTTCTTTGGGATCGCCCTCTCAGAGGACCACATGGCTAATGTGGTAGCCATTCGCTCAAATAATTCTAATGCCCCATCAACTGTTCGTGGGGATATTGAGCCATCTGATGCTGAATCCACCATGCTCTTATGGTATGGAAGTAATCCTGTGTAGAAGAATCGGATTTGGGTCTTTTTATCGAACCCGTGCTGAGAGCACTTCTGGAGCATATTTTTGAATCTGTTCCAGGCTTCGTCGAATGATTCAGTTTCTCCTTGATTGAATACTGATATGTCATGTTTCAGCTTCGCTATCTTAGCTGGGAAGAAAAACTTTGTGCAGAATTTGTTTGCCAGCTCATTCCATGTAGTGATACTTGCAACCGGGAATGAGTCCAACCATACAAGTGCTCTGTTTCGTAACGTATGTGGAAAAAGCCTTAACCTAATAGCATCATCCGAAATCCCTTGGTATCTGAAATGTTGACACATATCTAGAAATCGAGATACGTGTGTGTGGATTTTCTTCGGCTTTGCCATAGAATTGGTGTCCATTTTGAAACAGCTGTATCACATTGGTCTTCAATTGAAAATTGGGCTGTCCAAACGGTGGATATACAATGCTCGATTGGCTTTGAATAACTTGAGGAGTCAAGAAGTCCCCCAGAATTTCATTTCCTCCGTCCATTGCCTCTCCTTCGTTAGCTTGAATAATAGGATTGTTTAATTCGTTGGCCATTTGTACTTGTGCTTTGCAGTGATCTCTTTGTCGTCGATGAAAGATGCGCTCAATTTCAGGATCAGCTGGAATCAATTCTCCTCCGGGCAATTGTGACATGCAAATCTGAGAATTAAAACCAGTACGAGCACTGAGATTCAAACAATTTAAATAACTAAAACACAAATAAAGGATAATAACCTAAAATAAAAACAAAAAACAAAATTATGCTAGCAAAATAAAAATTAAAGTTCGAATTAGTGCCTCGAGAAATAAAATTAAACTAAATTCTATCCTCGGCAACGGCGCCAAAAACTTGTTCACAAAATAATTTCTTTCGATTTTAAAACACCGCAAGTGTACGGTTCGTTAACAAGTAATAAAATGGAATCAATGAGTTCGAATATCGTCCCACAGAGATTGATTAGTTCAAATTTTTATCTAACGTAGCCTTAACCGAAACTGGATTTCAAAGTGGATATGGACCTAATTAAAAACTCTAATTTCAAAAAGAAACTCTAATTATGCAAATTTAATGAGTAAATTGAAATTAAAACTCAAAACAATATTTTAACACTCTAGAATAAAACTAAAAGTTGAGAACGCACGTTGTTATAATTATTAGAAATTAAATACGCTAGGATCACGATTTCTCATGAAATCATCACTTTAAACCCTAATTTCACAATATGACAGCACACTTCAATTGTGACGAATCAATGTTCCTAAGTCTATCCAGTACTCTCTCTTGAGATATATCAAACCTATTTCTACATACCACCGTTCTATATTTCTATGACAAGAGCATATGTAAAAATGCATGTGGTTTTATGAACACTTAAAGATTTACGTAGGGCATAGCGGTATATTTCTATCCACTATCGGACCCTACGATGATTTATATTATGTCAAATCTATTCCAGTTATCTCGAATGCAAGAATAAATCACTTAAATTCACACAATTACGAGCTCTTAATTGCGAAAACATTAATTGCATATAAATCATTCAAAACAATAAAAACTGTGTCTTAACATCAAATTGCAAAACGAGGATATTAAAATTCAAATAACATGGTTCATCGATCTCCTAGCATAATAAGAATCTAGCCTAGCATGATTAAAATAACAAAATACATCATGTTTTGAATAAAAGATATCACCGGATTATGAAATTTTGAAGTTTTTCGTGCCAATCTTTGCTCTTGCGCTCAAATCCTCTCCAAGAAGTGTTTTTCGGCCTCCAATTGAGTTCTGGTTGTCTCTGGAATGTTTTTGATATTTATATCCCGTGGAAAATTAGATTACCAAAGGAGTTTCAATCGTATAAGGAAAGAAAAAAATCGCGTCGGACAAATAGTAATGCGACCGCATGGTTATTTCATATTTCCAATTGAATTCCCTGCATCCCTTTGTGCGGCTGCACGAGAGTTCTACCATGCGACCGCATGGTAGAATTCAACTTTCATTTTCTGCAAATTGGTCCCTCTACTTGAATCTTCCACTTCTTTGCATCTTTTCTTCATTCTTCACATTCCATCATCCCAAAATATCATCAATTTGTATTTGGCAAACTCAATTTCTTGATTTGTTCATCGGGCCAACTTTTGGATAATTGCACATTGGTCCTTGAACTTTCACTTTGTGTCATTTTAGTCATTTTCGCGTCTTTTCTTATGTATTTCACCATGTTCATCAGTGTTACTTACAATTTACAAATATAACGAAATTAAATCACAATTCAATCATTTTATTCGTAATTAAGTCATGTTTGTAACTTAAATAAGTGTGCAAAAACACACTTATCACTGCTCCAATTTGGCTGGAAATGATGGATTGGAGTTCGTGCCACAAAACTTAATTAAGCCCTCGTTTGAGCTCCATTAATTCTCAATTTTCCTCATTTTTCAACAGTGTTCAACCCACTAGCCTGCACACGTGAATGACCAACTCTATCAGTGAAACCAATCATGTGTCAGAGGTTAATAATAGTAAAACAACTGTTAGCAATACAATGACGATATCACCCTCATTCTAATTTTTACATTTATCCATTCCAAGTTGAAAAAAATACTAGGGGCAATA